CCTCTTGGCTTTCCTCTAGATAATCTTGAGATTGAAAAGGCCATCAGTTCCTGGTAGAAGAACAGCTGAGACACATAACAAGTAAATGAAGATTCAAGCTTATGTGTTGCTGTGGCGTGAATCAACTAAACTCTGGGGAACTCCACAGTGGGCACTGCGCATATCTCCAGGTGGACTACAAAGGGCCTCAGGGAACAAGGAGCAGCAGGACACCCTGCTCCTCTGGGGAGGGTGGCTCAGGAATCATCCCTGACCCAGCAGCACACATGAATCTTCACCGCAGGAGGGTAAAGAACAAAGGTGAGCAAAGGCACCGACCGTCAGCCAAAGTAGACCTTTTATAAATAGTGTAGGTGAAGAGAGCAGCCTACTGTTAGTTTGCCAGTAGGAGGACAAAGCACGTGTCTACCGGGAGCCATCTAAGGTAAGGGGGAGATCTGCCTCAGACAGGATCTGGAGCTGTGGGACATTAACAGCTTGTGCACAGCTGACCACAGACAGCAGCTGAAAACATGACAATAGCTGGGCACAGGGAAGTGCTCTCACTTCAGTATTGCTACTATTTTGGCAAGGGGCATCATCTGGAGGTCTCCTGAGCTGATACTCTAAGGGAAGGAAGAAGGGTCCCTTCAGGTGGTGTAGGTCAGAGAGTCTCCGAGCCCTCAGGAACATAGAGGAGCTGAACACTGAGCACCAGCAGACAGCAGGGGAAGGAAAACAGTTGTGTCACAAGCAGGGAGGAAGCTCAGATGCTTCAGCAGAGTTGGAGGAGAGGAGGCAGAGACCAAGAATACAACTGGAGGCTGAGGAAGTGTATTGGCCTAAATAAGGCCAATACCAATGGCTCTGGTACTTGCTTTCCTCTCAACTGACAGGAGATATTAGAATACAGCATGGGATGCTACACAGCCATTGAGATCTTCCTTCTATAAAGCACAAGGAATATCTCAAATATAGGCTTCTGTACAGTATATATTCACAAACCCTCCCTGAGAAACAATTACATCTTACAGGGCTGTGCCAATTTGTAGAGAAAAGGATCCCACAGGTGATTAAGGGCAGGCAACAATCTTAATGCAGCAAGACATGCTGTAACCGTTGTCCTGAGTGAAATCAAAGTACATTATCTCAAATTTCCAAGTGTTAGACACTGACTCACGCAGTCTACTCCCAAGAGGTACAAAAACAGCTTATGGGGGGCTAAAATGGTTTACCAGACTCAATTTCTGACAGCAGGGAAACAGGAACCTCAAAGATATTTTCTTTCGAAATGCACAGCAGCATGATAGAAGAAGTAGAGATCCACAGCCCAGATAGATGATCTGCGGGGAATAATACTGAGAGGTGCTTATATCCAAGTCAGTCTGTCAGTAGCTTCAACAACTCCCCTTTCAAAAGGCTTGTTTTCTCACTTCAGCACCCTAATAACCAGCAGTCCTTTACATTCAGCACTGGATAGTTATGATCAGCCTTGGTTAATCCACATGCTTGCTTCAGCCAGGTGACACTGTCCCCAGAAAGGCTTTCCCAGTATCTCTAATCCAAAAGAATAACAGAGGCTGCAAAACAATTTCTCTTCATCA